TCATGATATATTGTTAACTGGAAAGATAGCATTTTTTTTAACTTAACCCTTTAGAAAATCTTATGTTTGAATTGTATTTTTCAAAATTTAAAAATATTCATAATAAATAAGATAATCATTTTAAAAACAGAATAAATACTCTCATAGTTGATATTTATGTAAGATCCTGTAAGAATTAATTATGTAAGTCTACACTAATAAAATAGTTCTCCTCTCCCAACCCACTACACATACCTATTTCTCTCTCCAACCTGAGTCTCAGGTTACCCATTTGTGAAATGAAGAATATGTTAAACATAAATGTAAAGCAGTGAGTCCAGGGGAAACTCCATAGATCTTACTTCTTTTCCCTCCAGTGAACTGCTAGAGGGCAGTGGCTTTCATCCCTCACTTGGGAGCCTTAAAATCCAAGAGTTATAAATCAAGTGACACTGTATTCAGACACTCCTTCAATGCTCATCTAGGGCAAGGCACAAAGTTGGTGCGTAGTGGAGGGGACTTAGAAAGGGGTGATGGACATCAAAAATTTGACTGGAGAAGCCTGGTTGGTGGGAACTTCATGGGAAGCCCATAGCTTTGTTTCTGCATGACCAAGGAACAGACACAGTACTGAGAACCAACATCACTCCCCTGGTGTAAAACATTGAGAGCTCTTTTCTTGCCTACTCTAGAATCTGCATCCTCGTCCATAAAATGGGTCTTTCTCTGTTTCCTCTAGCAAAGCTTATGCTTGTTCTAGCTTTCCCTCCCTATTCTAGAGAAATTTTGACCTGCTAGAAGGTCTGAAACTAGATGAAGTCTTAAGAATGCTTTGCAAGGTGAAATGTCATCTCATAAATACCAACCAGCAACGGCACAGCTTGCACAGTTCTAAAGGAATACAATCTGGGGTGTGCACCTGCGTATTAATTGATTTTGTTTTTAATATTGATGAGCATATGATTTGGTCCAGTTGACCTTCAAATTCAAATTAGGTACTGATTGAATAATAAGCTAGGAGAATCAGGAGGTATCTAAATAGTAATTTTTCTTTTCCCAGTAAGAGGCCTTGGCCTTGGTGGTGAGTGAGGATGTGCTATTAAGTACAAAGCTTAGTTCAGTGTGAAGTTAACTGAGTGTTAAGACAATTAGAACAGAATTAAGGAAACTGATGTATCTTAAATAAATGTAATAAGCAAAAAAAAAAAAATTGTCACAGCTTCAGAGTACTTGATTATTCTAGTATGAATTTTACACTTGTTTTTATATGTCCACTTCATCTGATTGCCTCTATATTGGATAACTTAAATCTTCAAAATTTAAAAGTTTTAAATTTTAAAATCTGGGTTTCTTTTTTAAAGTATAAGCTACCATTAAGTCAATCACTTTTTATTTTTTAACCAGTGGGGAAGAAAGACCTCAATAGATAAAGGCAAGCTCTCTTCACTAGATAACCTCATAACTCCTATCCACCCACATCTATTTTTCTCAGGACTGACCTACCTTAAAGCTCATTTCATTCTGTTTTGGCTGCTGCATTCTTGGCTTGTACCCTCCTCACCCCTGAGTGGATGAATTATTCATTAACATTCCATTTCTTCCATCTCATCATTCTGAATCAACTCTTGCCCACCCCAGGGCTGTAATGAGTTGCTGGGAACAGGCATCTCCAATCTGTAGCTCACAATCTAGCTCTTCATTCATTAGCCAGTCTGTAATTTCTTTTACCAGCTTGCACTGCTAAGCGGTTATGTGGGGGTAAAAGGGCAATCAGCATTCGTTCTTGGTACCCAGTGGGAAGAAGTATGTCTAGAACATTTGGATAAAATCAGAAGACACCTAGATGGAACTTCCTTTTGAAATTCTTCAACTTTGATATACCTGTTTTAATCTCTTAAAAATCTTACCCCCCCAATTAAGTGACATTAGCTACCTCATTATTTTGCTTGTTTTCAGTTCTTGTACTCTAGAAGAAACTAGTTTCCTTTGAAGCAAAGCTCTAACAAATTTAAAGCCAGTCAACCAACAAACTGAGCTGGAAATCATACCAAAATCTGGGCAATTATACTGGAAAAGAAAAAAAAAAAAGAGGTTTGTCCATATTTTCACTGATTTTAAAACCTAAAAATAAGACTGTGCCAGGATCAAAGTCTGGCAATAAGACAAAAGAGCTGAAATTCCTAAGGTCAATAAAAATCATCTGCCACTTAAAACTCGAGAGTGTAATAAGCATCTTTCTAAGTGAGCTTATAACTTCAGTGCTCATAAATAGTCAGGATATTACTAAGGAGCCATGATTCTGCATGAAAGCTAACAATGGTGAATGTTTGAAATGAGTCCGTGACATATCTGACTGCCTTTTAACCTCAAATTGGCCTCAATCTTGGAGAATTTCAATGGCAAATTCATTTTTTTTCCTTAGCTATGTATCAGTCAAGATGGCAGTTCCATAAAAGTTCAACATTTGGTGTAAGCTTTAGATTGATAATCAATTACAACAGAGCTCTTATGTGCCATGCTATTTCAGGACAAAAAGGTAAACATCATATTCTTTATGCTGCATTTTTTATTATAACTGGCTCATGTTAATGTATACTTCAAAACGCTTTTCCCCAGATCAAGAGTTTAATAGATACTAATAATTTATTTCAGTAAAATCCATAAAATTTTGCATTTAATCTTAATCAGAAACTATATTTATGATAAGTGATAGAACTTTTTTGAGTTACCATTATTAAAAGTTTTATGTAAAAAAAAAAAATCCTAAAGCATTCCAGAAAGTGATCCTGGCATGAGCAATTAGTGGTGCGAGATCCTAAAAGCACTGAGAAACATCACAAATAGTGTGCTTCTATAAAGGTGTGATATATCCAACCAAACAACTCAACAGGAAACATCTCAGCTAGAAGCACTTAAATTAGATTCTCTCTGTTTCCTAAACTCTGCCATTTGATTTCATGACACTTTTAAATTTTATCACAAGGTAAGTAGAGTGACTGAATTTTTTTTTTGCTTAGAGCGAGCATTTGCATAGAATATCTTTTCACTTTGACTTGGTCATATTTATTTCTCACTCTAGAATGACCTACAGTAGCTCTTACCAAAACCGATGTGGATGTCTGACTTTAGTTATATATATATATATTTTATTATAGAGGTAAGATTAAATTTATTATATATTAAAGTATTTCAAATGGGCTGTAAGAACATATATGTTAATACCAACAATGGAAGTGTTAAGGGATTCATTGAAAAAGTGGTAATAAACAAACAAAGACCACCCAACACAAGTGTGGTGTATGCTACACTGAGCCACCCAGAGTTAATCTGGGGAGTTAATCTTGGCATGCACCAGGTGAAAACAGTACATTGCACTACTGTATTCTGTGAGGTTGACATGATTATGTCTCCATTGTACAGTATACCTCAATCATCTGGCTCCAGAGTTCACAGTCGATTTATCAAGTACACACACACACAAAATACCTCATTGAGAGAAACTTACTTACAAAACATAAAGTGGAATGAATGATGCAAATAGCTAACTCAAAATTTTAAGACAATTCTGATTTTTCTCAACACCAGTACAAGGAGTAATAAATATCCATTCCGAGCAGGGATCTATTTTCATATCACTCCAAACTGAAGAGATAAATTCCACATATGAAGAAATGTATATAGAAAATTGTCAAGGAGATTCTGTGTTCTCCCTAGTGTCCATTTCCACAAGCTATGTGTCCTTTTCTGGCTTCCAGAATTCCTCCGCTCCTCCTTTGGCTCCCTACAGACACTTCTAAACCTGACTGGCTCATTTTCAAAACTGGGGTGGGTTTCAAACGACAGTAAGCATCGGCGGAGGTTCTAAAGTTTAAAACTGGGGCAGGTTGAAACCTGACTGGGGTGTTCTGAAAAATGCTGCAAGTTTCAAAACTCAAATCCCATTGGTGCATGAAACCTAAACTGTGCAGATTGGCTGGTGCTGCTGCTTCACTGAACAAGGAGCCACGGAGCTCCTTGAGACTAGACCGACCCTACATGAACTTTTCTTATTTTCTTCTTCTGGCGATATTCTGGCCACTCTAAGGAAGACTTCCTATATATATAGTATTTATTTTTACTTGTTTATGCATATAAGAACTGAGGTATAGGCTGAAGGTGCGAGCAGTGAGAGGCTTCACCAGAGACAAAGTGGGGAGCAGAACAGGAGGATTGAATGAAATACACTGCTGAGGGGAGTAGTAGGCAAAACAGGAGAGGTCTGCTGCTCCCTGCCTGGGGTTGAACTGATGCCACATGGGCTGTTCATAGCTTGATAGTGTGGAGACTTGAACCTGCGTTACCAAGGTGGCCCCATCTTTTCTTTCTTATTATTGTTGAATAATAGCCTCTGTAGTAGATGGTTCTCAAATGCCACACTTTCAGACTTATTCCTGATGAAAAACTTTGAGCAGCAGAACTGCCTAATTCTGGTGTTTCAAATAAACACCTTGAAACCTAATTTCTCTGATCATTCTATTTCATGAGGTTACTTTTCAGAGGACTGAATATAGAAGTAAATTCATGAAGGCAAGCACAGAATAAAAACAGAATGGAGGCCCTCCCTGGTGGCGTGGTGGGTTAAAGCACAGCACTAAGAAGCTTAAGCCACTTCCGCATGAGTTTGATCCCTGCCTGCCCCGAAGGTGACCACATGGCGTGGCAGACCTCTCCTGACCGGCCCCCTGCTCCCCTCAGCAGGGTACTTCCTGGATCTGCCTGTTCTGCTCCCCACTCTGTCTCTGGTGAATCCTCTCACCCTCCCGCATCTCTGGCCTGTCCCCCAGTTCTGTATGAATAAATAAACAAATCTTTAAAAAACAAAACAAAACAAAACCAGAATGGGTGGCACATTTGATTACATTAGAAACAGAGGTTCCTAAAAAAGACTTAGATAGAGCTCACTGCTTTATTTTCCCATATAAACAAAGCCCAATGACCTTTTGCAGAGTTTGTGATTTTTAGGTGAATAAGTCACTTCCTACCTTCATCTTTACAGATTTCAGCTGTCTCTTCTGAAGCAGGACTGGGCACAGTAGTATTGCTGACAGCATCTTTAAAGAGAAAGAGAAACACTGCCTCAGAATTCCTGCTTGTTGGGCTGTGGCTTCCCTGTCCCGTTATTACCCTCTCCACTCCACCAAAGCACTCGTCAGCCTGTTTCATGCTCTCCTACACCAAATGGTCTTGGAAGAAGCTAGTGGTTTGTGGTACTTTTATAATTAATAGAATCCTAAACTTTAGTTAAGACAGAGTCTGGTGATTTACAAATTATTTTTTGTTTGTTGGAACTACTATTCTTTCACATTTTGCTTCTTCCCCAGCTCTGGAAGAATGGTACATTATTTTGCTAGTAACAGATTGTGGAAAAAAATGTATATAGTTACAAGTTTCTACAAAGTGCTTTTATGTGTGCATATATGCGTTGGAAGTTCAGTTTCCCCTAGCACAGCACTTCTCTTCCATTATGCAAGGCCGTCAAACCGCAGGGAACGTGTCTGAGGGCTGTCAGTGCAGAAGCTCAGGAGAAGGCGGTTGTTTGCAGGAAAGAATCAAAGCCTGTATTGAAGGCTGCATGTCACTCAAGCAGAGAGTGGGGGCTAAGGCACCTGGTGGTCCCCTTTCCCCTCTCAACAATAATTAACCTCCTCAGATTTGTTCTTTTTTCTCAGTATCATTACTCCCACCATGATTCCACTCATGCTTGCCCCCAGGATAACAGATAATTAATTCCCTCATATTAAAATAGTACATTTAAGACCTAAGGGATTATTAAGATCATTTGAAATGTGTAGTACTTGTCAATTGGAAAAGGAATATGCATTTTTTTTCATGCTGGAACAGGGACTTGGACCAGAAGATAACTCATACATGCATGACAACTAGAATGCATTTAAAACAAACAAAAAAAAAACATGTTTTCCAGCATATCCTTTGTCCCCAGTATATATCATTTATAAGGCATAAATTTCCAATCTGTAGTTCTGGCCTATCCTCCTTCCTGGATATCAACTCAAAATGCTCTATGACCAGTCTTCCACATAACATGGCGCTGCCAACCCTGTAGTTACTAAAGCTAAAACCCAAGACTTCTCCTGGATTCCCCTTTGACTCATGCCCCACATACATTCCATCAGCCACCCTGTATCTCTGTCTGGAGAACATAACATATTTGTATCCATGTCCAGGAGTCGCCATCTCAGAGCTCTTCCTCACTTCCTCACAGCACCTCTAACTGGCTTCCATCTGTCTCTTTTGACACATTTTCATTCACAATGTTATAACAGATTCTTTCTCTTCATAACTTAGAATTTCCCTTTAGCTTATCTTTGTAGCACTAATAAAATAAAAACTTACAAAGTCAGACATAATCTGCGCTGTGATCTCTTACCAGATCTTACCCCATCTTCCCCCAATCTACCATGATCCAGTCACTGATTTCCTATGTCCAGT